CGGCATTTATTACACTTTGGGTCTAGGACAAGCCCTCTAGTGCAACAGTAACAGTCCATCTAACTTCTTGTTTGTATTCAAACATCTTTTTTTCTCAGTTTAAAATATACAACATCTGTTACAGAGTATCTAAAACAAAAAGGAAAGCTCTGGCAGTGGAAAAAACAAATCGTCCAGCCACCATGTTTGACTTTATGTCGGCTTTGAGAAGATAAATGCCTCCTCAGCACTATCGAGGAAGTGCGTGTTGGGCCGGCTGATTCCGGTTACAGGAGTTTGGATAATCAGTGAGAGTCAGGCTGGTTATGGAGCAGATCGCGTAGCCTGCAAACCATATGTTAGTATAGTCTGGCCACGACCCATGGACAGAGCTTGGTTGTGGAGCAGGATCTACAGTTGTTTTTCAAACTGTCCACATGTTACTGGACAGCAAACGTGACATACTCACTACTACTGATGTCAGTCAACGGGTAAGTCCGCCATACACGGTTGATAACACAAATACTGGCCCAGCAAACCGACAGAGCACTGTTATTGGCCCACTAAACCGGTAGAGCGCTATGATTGGTCCACCAAACAGCGTTGTAATTGGCCCAGCAAACTGATAGAGCGTTGTGATTGGTCCACTAAACTGGTAGAGCACTATTATTGGCTCATCAAACCGGTAGAGCAATGTGATTGGCCCACTAAACCAATAGACTGTTTGGACCTGCTGGGACTCCAATGGGGCGTGGCTAGACTGACATGCTACTGTCTGTCTAGATTTCTAAGCTGAGGATTGAGAGCTGTGGATCCATCTTGCACTCATAGTATGGATAATAACACTACATCCTGGGAAATTTATTGTCCTCCAACATTCTTCTTCCTCTTCTGTTTTCCCCCACCCATACAAATTACAATAAGATACTTATTAATGTCCAACAAGCACATTCGTGGCAGCTTATGCTAGTGTTAGCAGTAGCACAGGCTAGCATTGTTTTGTGGTTAGTATTGCCATAGCCAACATTTATTATTGCCAATTTTGAAGTGGGTTATAACATTTAAATTTAAGGTGGTGTGTTTATGACGTGCTATGACCAGCTTTTATCAGAACAAACAGTTTCGAAAGCAGGTAACAGACTTTTTTGTATGCTGCATTACACGCACCAAGCTGCCTAAAGTCAACAAGGTAACTGAATTTAAATGGGTTAGGGTTCCTTTAATAGAGGAAATACTAGTGAACAGGAACAGTTCGTATACAATTATTGAAAGTGTGATCTTCACACACAGAGCAATTTCACAACCATCTTTAAGACTGTTTTTCTACGCAACATTGTTGCTATGCTAGGCTACCAATTACAGCCCAGTCATTATTATATAGCAATACAACTTAGGTGTGAAGGTAAAGTGTTAACACGCTTACATCATATGTGACTAATTCACCAGCATCTTAAGTCATCTTAAAGGGAAAAAAGTGGAAGGTAACCAAAGACTTCCATCACATTTACTGTTCAGTACTCACATCGATGACATTTCCGTTATCACACCAATGAGCACAAGTTTAATTAGCCCAGTTGGCATTCATACGATGCTGAACATGACTCATTTTTCATTTACATCTATGAAGGAGTCATGTTCTCCATAAATGTAATGGCATGTTAATTGTGACATGCCTAGCGGAGAGGTATGACTGTCATGGATTGCTTCTGCATGGACGAACTTCCCATAAATGTCACATGGGCCCATGTTCAGCGTTTCAGGCACGCAAGCCTCTCAATAGTCAAGGACATATTCACCATGAGAAGGGGCCACTCACTGCACCGCAATGTTCATGAAATGTGTTATACATGTTCACATCTCACAAGAATGTGTTCACAAGTCAGTTTTTGTTTAAAGTTTAATATCAAGAATTCTAAATTAGGTTTGCAACTCTTAAAGCACTTGTTGAAATTCAGTTTCACACATTTGAGGCAGTAAAGTCTGATAAAAGAAATAGTTAAATGTCAGTAAATATTTCAGGTGCTAATTTGCATGTTTATTGCATCATCGGCTTGCTTTTGCATTCGGCTTCCTGCAAGCCTGCTTCAGCCATTTGCGTCTCTCCTATCTCTGTGCTCACGTCTAATAAATCCCATGTAGCAATAACTTGTCAGAGACACAAGTCTGAAATAGCTACTAAAGAAAACCCTGTTTTAGTTATTGAGAGGCTCCTGCTCTGCTTTAACCAAACCCTGATTTTCTCAGGTGAAAATTTTAACCGTGGAAGGTCACCAATACAAGTTACATCATTATTTAGGTAAAAGTATTACTTCAAATGTTGAATACTGTAGTACTGAGTGTGTGTTTGTATGCATGCTTGTACAAAGTGTGGCTGTTCATAGGGTTACATGTGGTGTGCCCCAGCATTCAATTTTAGGCCCAGTGCTTTTTCATATAAGACACAATATAAAATAACAGGATCTAACAAAATAGTAAAAGTAAGTAAATCAATAAATGAAATTATAATAAATATTAATCTTTGTTCCAATGTTTCCTCCATGGGGGCCCTCTGCCTCGGGGCGGTGGTCAACTATTGCTGCCTGGGTGCTCTCCGGGTAGTGCTTGTGTGGAGGTGGAGTCTATTTCCTCCCCTGCGTTGGTACCTCGGCTGCTGTGGTTACCTTGCTGCTGCAGGGGCAGATGGCTCCTCTGATGGTGTTTCCTTGCTCTACCATATCTGGATCATCTGAACTCAGCCCAATGTTGTTTTTACTGATGTTAGTGTGTGTGTGTGTGTGTGTGTGTGTGTGTGTGTGTGTGTGTGTGTGTGTGTGTGTGTGTGTGTGTGTGTGTGTGTGTGTGTACAAGGTTGGGGGAGGGGGGTATGGTATGACTGTGCCAATGCTTTTAAATTGGAGTAGGAGGAATAGGAATGAGGGTTCTATAGAGTTGTTTTAATCTGTAGCACTTTAAGTTGCATTCCTTGTAGAAAAAGCACTTTATAAATAAAGTTTGATTTGATTTGTTAACCATTTTAATCACTCACTTTGTTCAAACTCCTTTTAAAACATTCCTGATTGGGGAATAAAAGTTCAGATGGTCCTGTTCGAGGACATAGAAGTGAGCCGGAGGAAGGGAATTTTAAGTCTTATTTCCTGATATGTGGACATCTCACCTCCAGTTGGCTAACAGCAACACAACTCTACCACCGACTATGTTTGCTTTGCAACATTGATGTTTTATTTCCACAAAAAGCTTGAAGGAATTCTGCCGTGTTGTGGAGGTGCTAATGCTAGCGATTAGCTTCTAGCCAAGACATAACCCTTTTAAGGAAGTTCAGCCTGCTGGGCAGGGAACCCTTGTGAACTTTTAGAATTCTAAGAGTAAAAACAAGTGTTGTAGGTGTGTTAGCTGCATCACGGAGCCTGTCTGTTTTATTTTACAGTAAAAACTAAAATACTGTAGGTTGTTTATGAAGTGAAACCAGTCTTTGTAGTAAGACTGGCATGTATGTGCAAATTGCACACATTTGCACATGAAAGCAGCAAAAATAGGAAAGAAAACATACATTAAACGTAGCAACAAAAAATTAAAAATTATTATTTTACACAGTAATAAAAAAGAAAAGAAAAAGAAATATCTCTAACCACATTTCAAGATAATCTTTTTATTCTGTGTGGTCAATCTGAAACTCAAAATCTGATTTTTTTTTTTGCTTCTTTATTAACTTTTTTATTTTAGGTCTGTTGCCTTGCAACAATAAATGACTGAATATGTTTCCACATAATAAATGATTGCCAAGTACTGATAGTAGGCATTAGTACGTATTAATAGTAATTAGTACTAATTAGTGTAAGCAAAAACAGATCTTCCGTGGGGAGATTTTTACTTTCAAAATGGTATTTTTTAAGTTAACCAGGTATTTTAAGTATTTATTTAAACAGAGTTCTTTCACATGAATCAGAATTCAATATCAGTCCTTAAAAAAACAGAATTTGTGCATTTTTTTAGTTGTTGTTTATTCCACTGAAAATAATTTGTTTTAATGCAAAATTTAAATCATGAACACTTAACTTGTTTAATGGCACATTGTCCTCAATAACTGTCCCCAACCCTGGAGACAAAACCCTAGCTGCTGCAGGGCATCCCTGCAGGACACATGCTGATCCAGGTGTGGACGTCCAACTCAACATCAGCCTTCAGTTTTAATGGTTACGTGCAAAGCAGGTGGAAGGAAAATGCATTTAGTCCGTAACCGATCTCCTCAAAGATGCATGCCAAACTTCCTGCTTCTCATTTACTTGACCTCACACAGCACGCACACAGCCCACAACCCGATCCTGCTCTCACAGGGCAACATCGGTGACTCTCTTCACAATGACGAGTCTGAGGTGTGACCTAAAACACTTTCACTGAAAAGAACAGTGCTGTGCTCACTCCCCGCTCGTCTGTTAAAAACAGCTTCTTTGGGTCAAACATCCCTGATATGAAGACATTTATGGACAAGATCATGCCTGAATAAAACTCAATCCTTGCAGTGAAGAGATAAAAAGAGATCATCTTGCAGTGAGTGAGGTACAAGACACATATTTGTCCTTCTTTGCCAGACTGGAATATTCCTAACTCTTGATGCATTTCATCTCTTCATCCTGCGTGACGCATCGTGTTGCCTGATTCATCTTTTTACTTGTCAACAAGGAGCATCAATGGATGTCAGTCGTTTTTGATGCCATTGCATACACAAGAAGGAATATCAGCTATCAAAACTAAAGAATGTGATCCCATTTCACGTTTCAGCCTCCGCGGTACTGTCAGCACACAATCGTTTGATGATGATGGCTGTAAAATGTCCGCGTGTTGTTGATTCACACAGAACAGCTCAGAGGTTAAAGTCCTGATGGAAAGAAACTTCTTCTAAGTTCTTGCAAACAAAACACTATCAATGAAAGTGATCTTAATTTCTAGTTACCAGTTTGTTTCTTTTACTTGAACCTTAAAACAATCAGTGATTTGTTCAGATTTTTTATTTTGCTTAGCCTTACCTGGTGTTTCCACATATGGCTTTATTGGTTTGGGAGTCTCTGCTTTGCTGTTAGCGGACTTGGTGGTGCTCTTGGACTCTGTTGTGGTCGTTACAGTGAACGTCCTTTGTGTGGTAGTGCTAGCGGTTGTTGTCATTGTGGTCGATGAGGCCCTGGCGGCCAGCGTCACATTGACTTCCCCTTTGTCTTCATATATGCTATCATTCCCAGTCGGGCCCCAGTCAATAAATCCAGCCACTGTGGTAGTCCGGCCCTCCTGAGACTTGTCAAAGCTCTCCCATTTCAGCTGCCTCTTGGCTCTAATTAACAACCTCCCACTCGATAAAGCCACCGGAGCTTCTGCTATTCCAGCCAAAGGATCACCTGTTTCTGTTTGAGAGTATCTCAACCGGCACTCCTTACATGCCACTTGTCCCTTATGTGCCAGCTTTCGATGGTTTTGACTTTTGACTTTTGGCCAAATTCCCACCTTGTTGTCTTGAGGTGGAGAGACAGGGTGGAGAAGCCGGCGTGCTAATGGGTTCACTGTTCTCCAGTGGAGCTTGTTGGGCATATCCCAGAGAGGCTGCAAGCGAGGCCGGGAGCGAGGCACCGATTTAGGTGTGAGTTTGATCCCCAGACCCTGTCTGAGAGGGCTGCACACGGAAAAGTCCGGGGAGAGGTGAGTCATGGCCAGCAGAATCCACACCCAGTGTCCCACACAGCTGCCTGGCCTCAAAGAGGATGAGCTGCAGAAAAAACAGCAAAAAATAAATGAGAAAAGTTGTTTCAGTTAAGTTAGATTAACCTCCATCTTTGAGTTACTGAACAGTTACACACATTAGCAGCTTCTGCTCATTTCTTAAAGACCCAATTCATACAATTTTTCAATGCATTTGCAATGTTCTCTAGTATAAAGGGATGCCTTGTGAATTGATCTATGGGGATAAAAGCTCTCTTTGCTCTGCAACGTTGATGTTTTATCTCCACAGATAGCAGAACTTATTCAGGCTTGTGCTATGTGGTGGAGTAGCTAATGCTTGCAGTTAGCTACCACTAGCTGAGACATGCTCTACTCTCTCCTGGATGCCAAACTACCAACAGCCTTTCCCGTCATAAGCCAATATGGGTGAGTCTAACTTTCAGTGTGAAGTAGGTATGATTTGCTTTTCTAATCCGTGTTTCCCCATCTAATACAAGTAAAACATGGTTTCTCAGTGAACTTGGACTTTGGCATTTTACCCCTCTACCTCAAACATACTCAGGTCATTTCATACAGTTATGGGTTTCATAAATCACTTCTTAAATTACAGTAGAAAAATCAGCCAAAGTCACTTCAGAATTTGTGCTTTTTTTTCCAATGAAATGCTGCTGAAAACTAAAACTTCTCCCATGATTTTACAGATTCATATCAATCCAGGGATGATAACAACATACAAGGTCAACGATGCATCAGCTGATCGTCATATTCTGCATCATCTCCCCCAGACACAAAGTCATCTGATTCCCAAAGGGCAGATTGATTATGCAGAGCTACATTTGGGAGATACTATGCTCTACTGGAAGAAGAGACAAAGTGATACTGCAGAAACTTTCACCTTTTCAGAGGCAGTGCATTAATTTACTGAGTAGCAACGACCAGCTGCTGTTGGTGTAAAAACTTCACTTCTGATGGCAAGGTGATAGATGGGCTGTGTATTCAGACTGAGACCCGGCAGTTGGCTGTTTTGCAAGACAACCTTCAGTGGCCCCTGGACAAAGCCACACATTGATTCAGAAGGGAGAAACCTTATTATGGGCTATCTTGAATCTCTGCTGTCCTTGGCCGATTTAAGCCCAGAAGGAAGGCTCATTTTAGGAGCCTCGCTGAGGTGATGACAGTCTAAAAAGTGCAAACAGGTTCGTCAGCTGTGCAAGGCAGCCCAAAGACTTTTGTTGCTCATCTAATTATAAAGCGGGCCTATGCGAGTCAGCTCTGTCATTTGTAGTTAGTTTTAATGAGGCAATGTGTAACAGGAAAGCAGGTCCTGAAGAAAAATGCTGATTCATGGTGATTCGTCATGTGTTTATTACGTGTGTGTGTGTGTGTGTGTGTGTGTGTGTGTGTGTGTGTGTGTGTGTGTTAGACCAAATGTGTGGTAAAGCCCCTTGGGGGGCTGTAGAACCCGAAAAGGTGCTATACAAATACAGAACATTCACCATAATCTTCATAATTATCACAAATAAAGACTTGAAATGTTTCATAACGAGTGTCTCATGTATTAGTTTTACTTTTTAAGTTGAATAACTGAAATCAATTAACTTTAGCACTATATTCAAATTTTTGGAGTGTCACCTAAAGGGATGGGCAATCCTGGTCCTTGAGGGCCACTATCCTACATGTTTCAGTGTTTTCCCTGTTTCTACACACCTGATTTCAATCACCAGGTGATTAACCGGCTTCTGCAGGGCCTGATGAGCTGCTGCTCACAGGTAAATCAACTGTGTTGGAACAGAACAGGAAAAAGATGCAGGATACTGGCCATCGGGGACTGGAGTACCCACCTCTGGAAGGATGTTTCTATCAGACCTGCTAAAGGCCCTTTAATATTTGTAAGACAGACTTGTTCATTCTCAATTAAGACAAAAAATTAAAATAAAAAAAGATCAGTGTTGGGAGTAATGCGGTACAAAGGTAATTAATTACTGTAATGCATTGCTTTTTGCTGTAATGTGGTAATGTAAGGCATTACAGGGAAAGAAAATGGTAATATTTACTCGGTACATGTGTCAGTAACGCGGTAATTACAATGCATTTTTAAACCCAGAATCAAGATGTGTTCCTTAATAATTCAAATTGCGGGAAACCTGAAGAAAGATCCAGTATCTGCATATATTACATCATTTATGGACTCAGCTTTGCGGGCAGAGAGGACGCTGCGGTAACGGCTCAGCTGAGTCCTGCACGCGGCCGCTGTAACATTCACAAAATCGCTCCACTAAAACAAAATAATTCACTTGCAACCGTTCATATCAGCGCATATTCTCTGGTATTTTGTGCTTTTCTGACGTGCTTTGCCTCAGCTGAGTTCATAATCTGTGCCCCGGTGATTTCAACTCATTACTGCTGGAGTGCCGCGCATGTGAAGATCCCTCTGGCTGATCGTTAGAAAGTAGGAAGTCTAGGAAACAGTTTTTTCTGGAAGACGGAGCATGCAGCATGCAGGAAGGTTAGAGAGAGAAAGGGCAGGAAATTATTCAAATAAAATCAAGAAAAAAAGAAAAAAGTAGGTAGATTTATCCCCAATACACATTTTTACCAGTGAAAAGCAATAATATATAAGCATTTAATATTTATACAAGTGATAGAATCAGATCACCCCAGAAGTCAGTCCCACATCCAGGGCCGTATCAAGGCATTTGGGGACCAAGGCAAATATAGGCTTGGAGCCCCCACCACCTCACTCCCTGCTCAGTTAATGTAAGATGGCAGCGTGTTGAGAGTACAGATTGTTGTTGCTTTTATTTTATAAACAATCATTTTAAAGCACTGTTATTAACAGCAATCCTAGCTCAGACACCACATCACTTTCCACACATATGTCATGAGCTCACTGAGCATCAGATTACCAGATTCATATTGAAGTTGTTTTGGTGAAAGTAACTTAAAGTAATGCAAAAGTAGTGTAATGCCTTACAATTTAAAATAAGTAATATTGTAATGTAATGAATTACTTTAAAATGAGGGCAACAAGTAATAAATAATACATTACAGTTTTGAAGTAACTTGCCCAACACTGTTTTGCAGATTAAGAGGATTAAAATTTGTCTCTTTGACAGTTCATCTGTTTTTGCATATTTGCCATAGGTTGTGTGGAGGAGTGTACATAATGCATTGCATCTTTATGTAAAGGAAAATACATGGTAACAAACCACGCTTCCTTTTACAGTACAGTTCCATCTTCCTTACATAATAAATTCTGGATAACTAGCAGGTTAAGATATGATATTTTTTTAGAAAATATGTGGTAATTACTAGGGAAGTATGAATTATTACCAAGTAACAATGACACAGTTAAAACTGCCATACCAGTAACACTACTACTAATTACCAGGAAAGTGCATGGAAATGTGATTGAAACAAACCACGCTTCCTTTTGCACTACAGTTCCACCTTCCTTACAGGGTAACTACTCTGTAAAACTTTAATATCACTCTGATATTTACCTGATAATTACGAGGGAAATATGTGTCAGGTACCATGTAAACTACACACCCTGATGGACGTTAGCGGATTATAACCTACAATTACCAGGAAAGTGCATGGTAATTAGGGCCTGCACGACTTTATTTTTCTTAAAGTCGACAGTCAAGTAATGAAAGTCGAGTCGACTTCGACTAGTCGTTGATGACGTCATACGCCGGAAGCTGCGACGGGGGTGGGGGGGGGGGGGGGGTCGGTCGGTAGGTTCGCTGGAGTTTTTGACAATTAAAATTGCGCCCACATTTTCTAAGTTAACACATCTCTTTTAACAACGGTAGTTTCTGCATCCTACTTCAGTCATCTCCCCCCTCCCCCTGCGCAGCAGCCGCAAACTCACTGATGCGCCTGCAGCCTTTCTTGCTGCTCTAAACATTAAAATAATTATTTCATTTTCTGTTCCTCACTTCTGATTACCTTCAGTGGTGTCTGTTTGTTGCAACCACCAGGTACAAAAACTAACTTGTTTTTATTTGACTATTTTTCTGTCCTGTCTGTTTATTATCTTCCTGCATCTCCTCTGAATCCTAAAGAAAAACTGCTACCTGGGTTCATATATATTCACCTTATGAGTTACCTTTGAACTGCAGTTCTAAAAAGATCTACCGACCGCAAAAACAGCGGAGTGCCGCTGCTCGCCGGCCGACTACAACGGGACCGTTTTTGCTGCGGAGTTCATGCCGGAGCGGGGCGGAGTGGAGATAGTGGAATCTTGGGGGTGCGTCACCGGAGGACAACAGGTGATGCGCCTCGCTCCGCAGCAGCGAAACGCATCAGGCACAAATAACAGACAGAAAACATGAAAGGAAATGAGCCGACATGAACGATCGCGTGTTTAATTTGTTTTTGAGGTGGTGACACCTGATTTGGCGGTGCTCAGGACGCAATGTCTGGAGCGCACGTCAACGATCAGAGCTTTGCATGCACAAACTGGTTAAGATTAGGATGGGGGTGAGGTGAAGGTTAAATTGCAAGAGGGAAAAGGTCACAGTTTGGTTAAATGTCCGTTTTACCGCCGGTGTCAGTACCGCACAGCGCGTCGCCTCCGCCTCGACCCAGACACGCAGAGGCTCATCGCCTGCTGTCTTTTCCGAGGACTGCATCTTGTCAGTCATTGTCACGTGACAGCGACTAGTTGATGACAGGCATAAAAAGTCACTACATAGCCGTGAAGTCGACTAGTCGACCAGTTCATACAACCCCTAATGGTAATATGATTGAAACAAACCACGCTTCCTTTTACAGTACAGTTCCACCTTCCTTACAGGGTAAGTTCTTGGTAATTACCAGGTAAAGACCAGAGTGATTACTACCCTCACTGTCACTGCACAGGTTGATTGGTAATACATAAGCTATAATACTATCATAATTCCTGGAGAAATACATGGTGGTTTGCAGTATATATCTAGTTAATACCAGGTAACTAGTTGATATTTAGCAGGTAAATATGAGATAACTACCAGGTAAATAATGTGATAATTTATACCTGGAAATTACCTGGTAAGCACT